TTTCTGCTCTTTTGCACTTTCTCCTGGGTTTAAGGCATTGTAAAGTAGTGTTCATTTTTCTTCTAAAAAGGCTTTCACGGTGAGGCTGACCCTTCTGTGATAGGGTGTGGGAAGACTGGTTCCCAAGCTTCCCCTTCAGTGCCACATCCTGAGTAGGGAAACTCTTCCTTACATGTTGGGATATCCCGAATCCTGCATCCCCTCCACCGAACTTTTGTGCTTTGGGGCGGGAAAGGCTCACTGTCTCTGCAGCTGGTGGGAAATTCTTGTGTTGGTGCTTCCTTAAGACATGCTTCGGGATCCAAGGCTCCTGCTGCTGTCCCATACTAATTCCTGTGTCCTCCAGATGGACGTGCAGCACCTAGAAAGTTCCCACATCGCCACTGGAGTCACCCTGGTCATGAGGCAGGGAGGGCCTGTAAGTCGAGGGGGACAGGTCATTGTGTTGCCTCTGGGCCTAGCTACGCTCTCCTTGCTCCAGTTTCAGCTTTAACTCTTTATACAGTTGTTCTTTAAGGATTGCTAATTTAGGATTGGGGAATTGATATGTTTGGTGGGTGGCTTTTAATGGTCACAGCTTTGACCTTATTTGCATTCACATTTATCATTTGGGGGCTTTCTGGCTTGGCGGTTATCAAGATATCTCTAGTTTTTGATTGACGTACACCAAGCTTCACAGTCCTGAATATCTCCCTGGATACTTTGGCACCGGAATGGGTTTGCGATGTTGCATTTTTACTCTGTCTCTGGGGTTTACAGTCTTATCCTTTGGCTCACGTCGGCCCCAGCTTGCCTTGCAGGCTGATTTGTGAACCGTCTATTGGATAGTACAGTCAGTCTCTGAGTCACTTTGTGTATGGTGCTGTGTCTGATAGGTTGAAGAGTCTGTCTGCCATCCTTAATTTTCTGAACATCCTCTGCAAGCTCATGGCTGATATGATGGGGCCATTTTGTTGGGAATCTCTGTCCTTCCTTGCCCACAGTTGAGGTAGCAGGGAGAGAATGATCCAGGATGGGGGCTGAACTTGCCGTTCCCACTTTGTCTTCATGGAGAGATTTAGAGCTTCCTCTAAGGGACTTGAAGGCCCCAGATTTAGAGTTGGCCTCAGAGATCCAGTTGGTTGAGGAGGGAAAGGTTTTTTGTTTGTTTGTTTGTTTGTTTTACAAATAGTTTATTGTCAAATTAGTTTCCACATAACACCCAGTGCTTATACCCACAAGTGCCCTCCTCCATGCCCATCCCCCCTCCCCCCCACATCCATCAGTCCTCAGTTTTTGTCAGCATTCAAGAGTCTCTCATGGTTTGCCTCTCTCCCTTTCCCCCATCATTTCCCCCCTTCGTCTCCCCCTTGTTCCTCTGTCAAGTTCCTCCTAATCCTCCTATACGTGCAAACATATGGTATTTGTCCTTCTCTGCCTGACTTATTTCACTCAGCAAAACACCCTCAAGGTCCATCCATGTTGCTACACATGGCCAGATTTCATTGTTTCTCATTGCCATGTAGTATTCCATGGTATAGATAAACCACATCTTCTTGATCCATTCGTCCGTTGATGGACACTTAGGCTCTTTCCATGTTTTAGCTATTGTGGAGAGTGCTGCTATGAACATTGGGGTACATGTGCTCCTATGCATCAGCATTTCTGTATCCCTTGGGTAAATTCCTAGCAGTGCTATTGCTGGGTCATAGGGGAGTTCTATTGTTAGTTTCCTGAGGAACCTCCACACTGTTTTCCAGAGGGGCTGCACCAATTTGCATTTCCACCAACAGTGTAGGAGGGTGCCCGTTTCTCCACATCCTCGCCAGCATCTAGAGTTCTCTGATTTGCTCATTTTAGCCACTCTGACTGGTGTGAGGTGGTATCTCCATGTGGTTTTGATTTGTATTTCCCTGATGAGGAGGGATGCTGAGCATCGTTTCATGTGTCTGTTGGCCATCTGGATGTCCTCTTTGGAGAAGTGTCTGTTCATATCTTCTGCCCATTTCTTTACTGGGTTGTTTGTTTTTCGGGTGTGGAGTTTGGTGAGTTCCTTATAGATTTTGGATATCAACCCTTTATCTGATATGTCATTTGCAACTATCTTTTCGTGGAGGGAAAGTTTTAATGGGATAAGGACTGGGATGGGGCCTCTTTCAATTTAAAGATCTCTATGGATTCAAGGGCCTTGGGAAGAAGGCCTGTACCATCCTCTTATGAAATTGTTTAATATGGGATTACAGCCTCTGTTGTGTTGAAGATTCAATGAAGGAAAGCTCCTGGGAGGCATTCAAGCAGTAGTCCCCACCCACTGATGGTGGCAGAACTCTCTGTTGTATTTCTGTGTAGGATTTCTCAGAAGGAAGCAATGTCTCCTTCATAGTATGCCATGCCCTGGGAAGCCGACCCTCATTGATCTCATCAGACTTTTTGCTCAAATGTATTTTCAGGAGATTTACAAGTTGTCTCTGACATAGACTTCCACAGAAACCCATGAATGTTTCTCGTGTAGGCTTTTATGTGCTTTCTCCACATCATACCCTGTATCTTTATCTGAAGACTTCTCTGAGTCACTAAACAGATGATCTTTGGGCCCATCCTCTGGGTGGTTTCCCAGATCCTTCCCAATGGCCTCCTCTAGCTGAAGCCTTTCTGAGTCCCCCTCATGGAAGCTTTCAGATTGGCTCAACCCAACATTTAGAGTTTTGCTACTCTGACTCTTAGGGATCTGTGGGTGTCCACGAGAGTGCTGCATCTCAGGTCTCTCTGAAAAATTCCTTGGACTGATGGGTGTGGGCGGAAGGGAAGAGGGGTGATGGGCATGGAGGAGGGCACTTGTGAGGATGAGCACTGGGTGTTACATGGAAACCAACTTTACAATAAACTATTAAAAAAAAAAAGGAAAAAAGAAAAATTCCTCGGAGGCATCATCAGTGATGGAGACTCATGGATCCTGTGGGGAAGGCCCCATCGGTGTTGGATAAGCCTCTTTCGCAGGTGATGCTTTAGTTTCTCACGAACTTCATCACCAAGAGGAAACAGTCCGGGAAGGATAGAGACTGCACCATGGGTATGGGAGGCCCGGCAGTTAGGCTAGGAGCCGAAGGACAGAAGTCCTTATGGGACCTTTGATCCACACTGGGTAAAACCCACAAACGTTCCTGTTGCTTCTGCAACAAGTTCCATTCTAGGTGTTGAATTTCAGAAAAGATGAGAAACTCTGATTCATTCTGGGGTCTATGAAAACACACTCCACAGATCTTAATCTGGGGTAGAGGACTAGATGGCAGGATTGGGAGTGGTGATTGAAGGTAGGCCTCAGGCTGGACTTGAGTGAGAGGTAGGGGCTGGAGTTGGGGATGAGCTTGAGGCAGGGTTTGAGGCTAGATCTCAGGCAAGACTAGAAGAAATGGATGGGGAAGGACTGGGGATTCCTTGTCTGTGGAGGTAGAGATTCTATTGAAAATAAAGATTGAGGGACAATCATCTGAGTCATGGGCAGCAGAAGGCAAGGACTCGCTATACAGAGTTGGGAGACCCCAGAAGAGCTGGATAGGTGTTTGCTGCAAATGACCCTTTGCCAAGGCTGTAGGATATGGGGGCTGCAGATGCACATGCAGCTCCTTTGATTTGTCTTTGCTGTTCCAGAAAGGAAGGGAGGCTGCTAAGCCATGATTGTCAGAAATTGACTCTGACATTTTTCCTGAAGAATTTAGTGTGTAGTCTGGCCCAAGTTGTTTTGGAAAAGAACCCTTCTTTTTTCCCTTCCATATCAGGAAATCACTCCTCCTTTGGACTTGTTTCTCAAGAAGTGCCAGGACTTTGGGCTGAGGAAAGAGAGGTTGCCAGACTCTTACAAGGTTGGCCACAGGGGTAGGGAAGCCTGGAAGAAGCCACAGAAGAATGCAGGGCAAGAAACTCTTGGCTGAAATCACATTGAGCCAAAATAGAAGTGAAGAAGTCTTTGTGATGAGCTTTCCACCAAGAGAAGTCTGAGGCAGACAAGGTTGCATGGTCAATGCCTGTGATTTGGAAATATAAGTGGACAACCCAGCAGGGCCATCTGGAGAGGAGTTCTCTGGAACAGGCCTCAGGGTGATGGAAATGGATTTAGACTCACAGTTAAAGTGTAGTCTGGTGGTGGTGAAACAGACAGGGTTGGTGGTGCATGATGACAAGCACAGGTCTCAGTGAGATTCACTGTCTGAGACAACTTGATAAGAGGTTGACATCTTGGGAAAGCGTGGAGTCAAGAGAGAAGATGGTATTTAGAGACAAATTGGCCTCTGGTTGACAACAGGGTCCACTGTCTGAGCATCATATGGTGGGAAAGGGGGAAAAGGCAAGGGGTTTGGGTGAGAAATGGTCATCAGGGAAATCATATTCTAAGGGAGGAAAAGGCTCTGGTGTCAAAGAGTGATCTGATGGTGAGGGTGGAACAAAGTCAGCCAAGGGGGTCATTGGGTTAGGTAGGAAGGTGGAGGCAGGTGGGAGGGGGAGGCTCAGGCAGAGAAGCTGATATTAGATCTCCTGGAGGAACTGATGAGAAGGCAGGGAACAAAGTGAACAATGAGTAGGTCACAGGAGCTGTGGAAGCCAAGGGAGTAGCACATTCCAGGGCCTCCAAATATAGGAGTCGATTGATCTCAGCAGTGGTGTTATTACACACCTCACAGAAGGGGTCTGGACATAACAGTTGATGAATGTGGATGATATATTAATGCTGACCTAGGGGGCTGCAGGAGATAGGAGGTATAAAGCTGCATCCAGGGCAAGAGAACAAGGAAAAGAGGACCTGCTGACCTGCCAAGGGAGTGGCTGCCTGAAGCTTGCTGGCCCTTCACAATGCCCCACATTTATGACATCATAATACGGTCAGTAGCCTTCACCCCCAAAGCCCTCATTCACATACCCATTTGTATGGCTACCCCCTCCCATGACTGGCAGATTACACTGAGCCCACACAATTGCATATACCATGCTCTAGGAGGGATCAGAATAGAAGGGGAAAGAGTAGTCACCTCCTCCAATTAGATACATGCTTCCTTAGCTCTTCCTCTTCTCTCTGACTGCATTTCCAACCTGGAATACCGGGAGAGTGGGTTATATGTAGTGAAGGTAGAAACATATGTATTATATAGGAGTCCCTTTATGAGATATCCTTGAGATATTAGATTTTGAATGCCCCAGTAATCAAAAATAAGGTCAAATGGTCAATGATGTGACACTTGTTAGTATTAAAGTATTTCATTTACATTATGTCATGTGATGCTCGAACCACCTCTGTGAAGCGCAGAAGTTGGTGGTTATTTACCTCAGGGAGGAATCCTGTGTATCCTTGATGTCACAGGTCTTTCACAAAATCAGGAGAGAGAAGTTCTGACTCTTGACATCTCACAAGGCCACCATTGGGCAACACCCATTGCCTAGCTCCATCATGGCCCCATACTCAAGGATGGGCAGAGCGAGGAATCTAAGGGCCTCCGGTTCTGACTGTTCTGACATCCTCAGAAATCATGGAACTGGAACCTCATGGAAGGGTCGCCCTTGGAGAGCTCAGGTGGAATAAACAGAACCTTACCTTGCAGCGTACGACCTTTCCTCCTCCTCTTGGCTCTGCCTTGACACTAGAATAAAAATAGAAGAATGAGGGGCTGTGACTCACCTTTCACTCTTTTCTCAGAAATGGAGACATTCATGGGGCGCCTGGGTGGCTCAGACAGTTAAGCATTTGAAACTTGATTTCGGCTCAGGTCATGATCTCTGTTCACTGTTCATGAATTCAAGCCCCCATCTGTGCTGTCAGGGCAGAGCCGGCTTGGGATTCTCTCTCTCCCTCTCTCTGCCCCTCCCCCGTGTTTGTGTGTGTGTGTGTGTGTGTGTGTACTCTCTCTCAAATTAAACTTAAAAAAGAAAACCTGAGGACCAACAGTCACATCTGTGCTCCCTCAGGTAGGACCCTGTATCCTGGGACACCTCACATGGGGTGACCCATGATCAAGTGCTAGGGAACCTTGTTCTCTTACACACATCCCATACTCTAAACCCAAACTAGGACTACAGAATCCCAACGTTTGGGATTTTAACCAAGACCCACCATCACACCCAGATAGTCTGTGAGCTTCAAGTGGAAACCTTAGTACTTCCTTAACCCTTAGCCCTGCCAGATCTCTTTTCCTAGAGGAGTGAATGTCTGTTCTTTTAGACTTCCCATTTGAGGTGTGTCTGATCCTACCAAACTCATTTTAAAATTTGGGACTAGAAATAGAAACAATACTAATGTCTGTTGAGGGCTTCCCCAGGATTCCTTACCTTTTGGATGGATTTTGTATTCCAGGTTGGAAATGAAATCCCCATCAGGTAGCACAGGAACAGAAGAGGCAACCCCTACCCACACAGGAAGGTGAAGTTGGGGGTCAGTCTTGAAACATGTTGAGCCAAAGCACAACATGGTTTTCAGTAGGGCTATTCAGAAATGAGAGAATCACAAGGCTGCCTATAGGTAACTGAGCTCCGAGTGTGCAGATGCTGGACCATATATACTCTCCAGGCTTACATCACAGAGCACTGAAAAGTTACAAAAGGTTTCTGAGGGTGGGGGAGGGGACAGTTGAAGAGGGTTTGCCCATAAACCCTCCCCCACCCACCAACCCAGAAGATCCCTCTACCTCTCCTAGGCCTCTAGGTCCCTCTGCCCTACTCTGCCATCCTCTTCCTACTCCACCTTTTCCTCATATTGATGAGGGAGCATGAAGTTGTCTGAGGGACAAAGTACAAACTAGCACACAATTCCCACCTCCCACAAGGAATATCACACATTCCCCCAACTGTTGGTCACCCTTCACACTTATAGTGAATCTCTTTCTGCCCACAGGTCCTGTCCCAGAGCTTTAACAAAATCACCTTTTTGCACCAAAGAAGTCTTCAAGAATTCTTTCTTGGCCACCAGCTTGGACTGCTCCCCATCACCTCAAAACTTCAGGAGTATCATATACTTAGCTTAATGAATTTTTTTGCTTGTTCCATCTATAATCCATATAATACCTGGGTCCCCCTTTCTGCTTGGAGACCTTGACTTGGGTCTCACCTGTTCCACTGCCTGGAAAGTTTGCAGAGCTACCAGAAATATTCACTTGTAACCAGACGTTTACACTCAGGATTACACATGTTCTCAAATCCACCTTTCCTGTAGAATTTTTTTACCTTCCATGAATCTAGATCTAGACCTTAAATTTTTTCACACTTATTGAATTTTACACATGTTGCGTACCATATTTTTAGTTTTATGGTTCACTCAGCCTTTACCATCTTCAGAGAGGCCAACTCAACTAAAATCAATAATTCATTACTTAATATTCCCCAAACTAAAATCAGTATAAAATAAATAAATAATTAAACCTTCAAATAATCTTGAGGGTAAATGTGTAACACTTTTCTAAAGATAGTGAAGATTAAGCTGCATCAAAATTTTGAGGACATGCTACACACACACACACACATCCTTTGACAAACCAATCCAGTGTTTTCAAATTGAAGAATAAAGTATTTTTTCCTTTTATTTCAATCTTTCATAAAACTTTGACCCTACTTCTCCTTACTCTACTTAAAATACAGACATTCTCTGTTCTCTACATCAATTCCTTAATAGGTGTACAAATCCCTTCTCAGTAAGTTGGGGTGCTATACAAGAAATACATAGACTGAGTGGTTTAAACAACCCACATGCATTTTTCACAGTTCTAGAGGCAGGGAAGTCCAAAATCAAGACATTGGCAGACTCAGTGTCTGTTGAGACCCATTTACACAGACAGGTATATCCTTTCCCTACAAGTGGGTGAGGGGTTTCTGGAGTCTCTTTTCCTAAGGGTACTAATCCCATTTATGAGGACCTCACCTTTATGACCTAATCACCTCCACAAGTCCATATCACGTTGGGATTAGGGTTTCAACATATGACTTTGGGGAAGAACACATTCAGTTCATTACACTCCCCAAAACCAGGATAGGTTACTAGGCACTAAGCTGTTGATCCCCTTAGTCCTCTATTGGCAGGGTAGGACCTAGGAGTGTCATTTAGGGGACAAGCTAGTCTTGAGCAGCTTCTGCTGATTACCCATGTGGGCTCTGTAAATCTAATCTTTTCTTAAGAGTGCCTTGCCAAGAAAAAGGGTTGAGAAACTCCAGCTGTCCTCTGAACTGCCTCCTAATCTCTCATGTCTTTCTTAAACTGTGATGCCCTTCTTGATCATCTGTGAAAGGGCAGGACAGGCTTCACACCTGCCCAGCTGAGTCTCCTTTCAATTATACAGAAATAAGTAACCTGCCTTAAGGATAGACTCTGTCAGGAGGTCCCACTTTCCCCTGACCTTGACATGCAGACTCAGCCAACTTTTCATTAAGGAACATTTACTGTTGGAAACTAGGAGACAAGCACCTATAAGGCCTGGTGTCTGTCCTTAAGGACCTCACGGTGCTGCTCCAGGGAAAGCCCTGCACAGGCCAAGAGTCACACACGCACACAGGACAGGTGTACTGCTGCACGTGTGGATGCCAGGTGATCTCTGGAACAGATGAGGGAAGCAGCGTGCACTGTGGGTCCTAACTGCTCAGGCACATCGTGCTCCTTAGAAGGGACGCTTTGCATGTCTAGCCTCGCCCGTTTCCCGACACAAATTAATGATTCTTTGAGAAGATGGCCAATGAATGGCTTCTCTCTTTTACAAATGCATATATTGGCTAGACAGCCATTTGTGCCTCTTGAGTTAAAACTTTTTTCAGAACCCGGTAGAAGCCCCATCAAAATTTAAAGGAATGAGAGATTAATGATACACCTTTTGTTTTGTTTTGTTTTGTTTTGTTGTACCACCAAAAATAACCTCCACTGATATTTAGTAGGGGAGGTTCACAGCACTTATCCTTTCTATGCTAACTTCAAATATAAATGATTTGCCAGTTTCTAAAGCATTTTACTTGCAGTAACCTTACAATCACACTATGGCATAAGCAGTTTTCACCATCATCTAGGATGTAAGCAGGACAGGTATCGTTTGCCGCTTTTATCAAAGAACAAATCTGAAGCTCAGAGAGGGTAAGTGACTTCTCTAGATCACCTAGCTGGGAAGTAGCAGAGCCCTGACAAGGAAATCCTCAATGTTCTCAACACCTCTCTTTTAAACAATAAGTGACTCCTTAAAGTAAAGAGTCACCCCATTCCTACAATTAAAGCAGTTGTGTGGCTACAAATATTCACTTTGTCCGTTAAATGCTGGCAAGTTTGTGAAGAAAAGTTCTTGTGTTATTCTGTCATCCCCTTAAGTACTTTTCCTTTTCAGTCTTGGCACTGATGTCTTTATAGGTTTCTTCTATTGCCCTCTGCAAACCTGCTTTCCAGAACTATATTATGTATGACTCTCAGGGACACATAAATGAATAATAACATTTTAGATGCCATACATCTCACACAGTTTACATACATCTAATCCCTAAGCCTTAATATAAGACTCTCACAAGAGCATGTCAGGCAGCCATCCAGAGGTGGCAGAGATGGCTTTTGGTAGAGTGAGGTGTTCTCACAGCTCTGTGACATCTTCCCAGCTGACCTGAGTCACCACATAGAAGTCTGGTCCTAGACTTCATACTGCACTTGGTTATATTGTCTCCAAACAGGAGTATTTTCCAAAAGCTCTGAGAGAATAATATGCTTGTATTTAAAGAGACTACATATAGATAAGTCTAGAGAAGTCATTGATTTAACATTTTCATGTTTTTCATTTTCCAGGGACAGTCCCCATCATCATCACTGTCCCTGGGATGAGCCACATGGGGATAAGCTGTTTTCAGGATTCCAAAAAGCCTGAAAAACAGTGTCTGCGGCAAAATCTGTTTAAACTGCATTTAAAATATTAGCTGGCTGTAAGTTATCCCTCATTCAATCACATGCCAAACTTTTATTGAACTCTACACTTTAGTATTTCTAGTAGAGATATCAACAAAAAAAAAAAATGGTATTGCCTCAACCCTTGGGCAGGTCATAGCTTAGTGAGACCTGCAAATGGCTATGAAAAGT